GTCCCGCAGCCTGGAGCTCAGACACTTGTGCTCTCTGAGTTCCCTCATCCCCCCACCTACGTGATGCCAAGCCCATGGACTACACCACCTCCGTGGCTCTATGTTCCTCCCCTTCTACCTCTCCCCACAGTCACAGACCCGCCATTTCCCACCTGACCTCCTGCTGGCCTGTCCTTCCCCCAAAACTCCCATCACTTGAATCACACCATCGCCAACAGCAGGCCTCACAGAACATGATCTGACCATGTGCTTCTTTGTGCTGAGATCCTCACTCTTGGCTTCACACACGCAGACAGTCCATCCTTAACGCAGTGTCCATGGGCTCCACAGCCACCTCTGGGGTGATGTCTGCCTCCAGCATCATGGGCTCCTTTCTCTCCCCCAGCGCAGCATCCATTGCTCCACTGATCTCCTGCCACCCCTGTCTGCGCTGTGCCCTGTGCCCAGGCCCCAAAGGTGCTGCTTGGCCTCCACTGTGGTCCCCAGGGGGTGGCTGGGGCTCAACTTGCTCACAGAGTGGTCCCTCTCTCCCGGGCACCCTGTAAGCCTTTTGAGAGCAGGGAGTCAATTACTCTACCTTCACCCAAAACACCTGCACTCAGATCCTCAGAAAAGAAAAGGAAGTAACTGAATGCTGTTGGTGCGCTGCTGCATGCTAAACTCACGCCGTCGGCGTCTTGGAGTTGAAAGACACAAGCAAAAGGACCTAAGCCCATCTCTAAGCTGATGCATAAACTCCTCTTGCAAAGCTATCTCAGGTATGTGTGCCGATTAACAAACCACCAGAAAATTGAGTGCTTTAGAGCAACATCCATGTTCCTTGTGTGTGAGTCTGTGGTTAATAATTCGAGCAGAGCCTGGCTGGGGGCCCTCCGCTCCACACGGCAGGGGTCCAGAGCCCAGAAGACTCCCTCCCCTGGCTGCTGTTTCTGGGCCAACAGCCTGTGATCGCAGGCTGAGGGGCTTCTCGCAGGCACCTTGCAAAGTGACCTTTGCCAAAGGGGCAGGAGTAGAAGCCGCAGATCCCTTATCGCCTCAAAAGCCACAGGGTCACGTTCACAGGTCCAAGTGCATGCTGCAGGTCCACGCTGCCACTGGGCACCAGAGGAGAGAGACCCCAAAGGAGCACCGCAAAGAACTGGCCGCCAGCACTTTTAATCTGCCGCAAACCCTTTTCAGCGCTGTCAGCGATGCTTTACCGTTTCCTGTGATGAAGAGCTCATGGCGACACGGGGAACCATCACAGACAGGCTGGCAGCAGTATCCCGGCTCCAGAACCTGATCCGTGAGCGGATATTGCTGACGCCCTGCCTGGTCAGCCCCCCACCTTCGCCCCCCCCCCTCCTCAACCCCTGCCTTGCAGATGCTGCCCACATTTCTGAGGCCCCTCAACACACAGACCTGCCAATCAGGATTACTGTGTGTATCAAAGTCTGAGCAGTCAACCTTAGCAAATTAATTGTTAAAACAAAAAGGACTGTAACACAGACACCCACACCTGAAGCCTACATGTTCATATTGACCAACGCCTACCCAATATTTTAATAAGCACATACATAAACCAATAAATGGCAAACGAACACAGAACGGCCATAACCTTCTGCGGAAACAATACCAAACGCCCATATTTGGGTCCCTCCGTGAACCTGAGGGGGGCCTGACTTCACTAAACCCTCTGTGAACCCTAACACAGAGCGACCCACAATGTATCACCCCTCAGCACGGAGGTTCTGAAGGAGACCACCCATCACAAACATCCCTGTGGAAACTCAGTCCCTCTGGGACCTCCTGTACCCTGGCCCCCGCCTCTGAGGCTCAGCCCTCCTCTGGGAGGGGGGCAGAGGTTGGAACGGGTCAGAGATACATAGAAAGTACTGGTTTTCTTCCCCAGCAGCCTTAAATAATCATATGCAATATAAATTATGGACTGTTCCACTATGGACTGGGTTGTAGATGCTATTATGGAACTATTTTTCATTTCAACAGGAGTGATAATGATCTGGGTGGCTGTGCAGGGAAGGTCCTTACCTGGGCCATGCCCGCGGGAGGATGAAGGGTTTGACCAGGAGTAAGCAAACTAAGGCTCCCAGGCCGAGTCTGGATTCAATCTGTTGTTTAAAAGGAAGTCTTATTGGACCAGCCACCCGCTTTGTTTACATGGTGTCTTCTGTGCCTCGGTGGCCTGGTCTGGTCGTGATGACACAGACAATATGGCTCACAAACCCAAAATTTACCACCTGCCTCTTCATAGAAAATAGATTGCTCACACCTGAGTGAGACTATGATGTCTGCAACTTCTCTTCTAATTGTTCATCCAAACAACAGCAACAAAAAACTGCACATATGTGTGTGTGTGTGTGTGTGTGTCTATTTATAGACATGCAGGGTGTCCGCCAAAAATGCATACACACTTGAACAGCTTGTAGCTCCATTTTGAAAATGAAATGTATTTTAATAAACCCTACCTTTGTAATTATTCAAAATGTGTGTATACATTTTGGGGACATTCTATATATGTATGTACATATACTCTTGAATGATGTGGGGGTTTTGTCTTGGCAAAAATGTAACTATTTAATAGCCTACTGCTAACTGGAAGCCTAACACAAACAGTCAATTAACACAGATATTAATGTATTATATACTATATTCTTATAATAAAGTCAGTTACAGAAAAGCAAATGTTATTTCAAAAAATCCTAAGGAAGAGAAAATACATTTACAGTATTTATTGAAAAAAAATGCACATATACGTGGACCCATACAGCAGTTCAAACCTATGTTGCTCAAGGGTCACGTGTGTGTGTGTGTGTGTGTGTGTGTGTGTGGAGAGAGAGAGATGCAAATGTGGCAAAGATTAGTAATGGCGAATTTAAGTAAAGAATATGAGTATTCATTTTATTTTTCTTTTAACCTTCTGCAAGTTTGAAACTATTTTTCATAAAATGTTTTGAGAGTAAATATTACTTCACCTAAAAGCTCAAGAGAATCTCCTAAAAAATGTAATTCAATGGAAAATTAAGTAAGCAGATCAATAACAATATAAATCTATAACTAGCAATTACAATGGGTTTTAAGGTAATGAGAACAATCTCATATATGATAGCAAAAAAAAAAAAATTTAAACCTAAGGTTTAATTAAAAAATAATTGTGGAGTACTTAAATAATTCAATAAATTTCACCAAACTCCAAAAACTAGAAGCACAGATGTGAATATGAAGTACATAAGCATACTGTGAACATTATTAACACCTGCAAATAAAAAACAAACAAAAAATTTTATCAAAGACCCGCAGAAACCGGTTTGGCTCAGTGGATAGAGTGTTGGCCTGCGGACTGAAAGGTCCCAGGTTCGATTCCGATCAAGGGCATGTACATTGGTTGCGGGCACATCCCCAGTGGGGGTATGCAGGAGGCAGCTGGTAGATGTATCTCTCTCATCGACGTTTCTAACTCTCTGTCCCTCTCAATCCCTCTCTGTGTAAAAATCAATAAAAAAATTTTTTTTAATTTATCAAAGACCAAAAGAAGCTTTGAGTAACAGGAAGAATATGCCACATCCCTAAACAACAAGAGTCAATGACTTAATATTGTGAAAATGTCCATCCTCCACAAATACAGCTCTAAGGTTGATGCAATTCCAATGAAAATCATCATGTGGTTTTTGTTGTTGGAGAGAGAAGAATAATGACAAAATCACTCCAATGTATTGCTAGTAGAAAAATGGGTACGATTAGCCAAGGTCATTTTGCAAATGAAGAATAATAAAAGTTTCTCACCATAGTGATGTTAAGGTTTATTTTAAACTACAATAATTAAGTAAATCTGGCTCAGGAATAATCAAAGAAGACCAATCAGTGAAGAGATATATAAGAAGTAAGAATCAAGGTAGCAAGTCCATGAGAGAAGAGGGCATCATACAGGGCTGGGACAATGGCTCACCACGTGGGAGAAAATGAAGTTAAAGCCCTATATCGAACCACATTCCAAGTGAAGGAAAATTAAGTGCAAAGAAACAAATTCATGAGAGTGATAGAAAACAATGTATATCAATATTTTAGAAGCTTGTGGTGGCACCGATCTTTCAAAGCATAAAACAAATAGTAAAAAGAAAAAGATGGATATAGTTAGCTAGTAAAAATTTCAATCTTCTGTACATCTAAGAGGACTACAATCAAATTTAAGAAAAAAACAACACAGCACTAAGGAAATTATCAGCCACATAAATAAATGATCTGGAGGGGGCAATGTCCTCACTATAGAATCATTATGAGGAAAAGTAGGTTTTTTGTTTGTTTTTTAATTACATTAACCTACACTTCACAAAATAGTATAATTGTTGGGATTCAGAATGATTATTATTTCTTTTTTTCTTTTTTTTCTCATATGCATTTTCTGAGTTTTTTACTGTCCCAAAAATGTATAATTCCTGTAGAAAAAAAAAAAAATCTTCAGGCTACCTAAGCTTCTTACAGAGGACTATAAAGCTCCTCTATCAGCTTCAAGCTCTCCCAGAAATATACCTTTTTCGTTTCCTTGAATCCTCCAAAACCTGGGTGATGCTATTACTTAATATTACAAACCAGGGAGTGAAGGCTCAGAGGGGTTCAGCAAGCTTCCCCAGGTCACCCAGCAGTGAGCAGTAGAGTTAGAACTGCGTCCCAGGTTGACCCGACCACAAACTTGGCTCTTTCCCGGCCTCATTTCAGAAATCTTAGTTTGGGAGGCAGGAGGCCTGAGGCCTGATCCTCGCTCAGTCCTTAACGACACTTGGCTTTGGCAAGCCTCTTCCCTGTTGACCCTCAGTTTCCTCCACGGTACAATGCGAAGTGGGTTGGCCCAACTGGCACGTCAAGTTCCTTTCTTCTCAGAGACAGGACAGATTTCTGTTTTCATAAAGCAGATGCGGCCAGTGGCCAAGGACTGACCTAAACCAGGGACCAGTGGCCTGGGGGCTAAAGCAGGTGGCCACACACAGATGCCCCACGCATGAGCTCACCTTGAATTCCTCATGAATGCGCTCCTCCAGGACCTTGGCAGCCTTGCGATCCTCCATCTCCACTTTCCACTTCTCCGCCATGATCCGGGCTTTCTCGTTGGCCAGAGCATCCCGGAACTTCTTGGTGATCTCTGCCTCCTTCTGTCTCCTTCCAAGAGAACATCAGAAGGTATAAGTGCATGTGGGAAACGGAAGGTCTACATAGCAATGTTAGAAGCAGAAATAGGATAGTGGGACTAACTATAGTTATAAGAAATATTAACCATGTTCTGTTAGCTGTGATGGTTTGTTCTTATTAAAGAAAGTCCATTCTAACCTGGCTAGGAGTTGTACGCCCTGGGACATGGGAGTTAACATCCAAATTCAGTCCATTCTCCTCCTTCCAGAACTGCCTACCATCATGGGAAGATGAACAAGGTTGCTGCTGAAACAATCTGGTCCCGGAGGCGCCCACCTTTTGCTCTACCAGCCCACATTGCCTATAGCCCTTATACCCATTCTTATTCCTTGTGCCTACTTCCCCACGCCTGTAATTCCCTTTTCCCACTTTCCCACATGATCTTGGTCTCTCTACCCAATATAAGCAGCTGGCTTATGGGAGGGGGTGGGTAGAGCAGATTTTTGTGGATAACCTGCTGCTCTCCCATACTGCCAGCTCTACTGGAAAAAACACTCGTGTATGATTCAACCCTGTCTCTGCTTAATTGGCTCAATAGTGACAGGCAGCCCAGACCCAATAGTTGTCTGGTTTCAACAACAGAAATAAGAACTACAGACAGTTATTTCTTGTCCTGTCAGGATGACCAATGTCTAAGGTCAACAAAACTCAATGTTGGCAAAGGTGGGGAGAAGTAGGCATTCTCCTGTATAGTCAGCAGAGTTGTTCCAGAAGCCAGGGAATAAAAGACTCCAAAGCTCATCTCTCTCCACCAGAGGATTTCAGAGCATAAAGAATGGCTAACAACCTAAATGTCCACCAGCAGGACCAGTAAGCTGGTCTTCTCATGTAATGAGAACACTATACAGTAATCTTAAGTAATGCTGTGACTCTATATTAATTAATTTATCCCTATGTGAATAAAGCCATTTACACAGCATATACAAACAGCCCCCAACTTATGGTGGTGTGATAATGTGTGGGGTTTGTTTGTGTGTGTTTTTTGTGTGTGTGTGTGTGTGTGTGTGTGTGTTTTGTTTTACAATGGTGTCAAAGCAATCCACATTCAGTAGAAACTGTACCTTGAATTTTGAATTTTGCTCTTTTCCTGGACTGCTGATTTGCTATAAGATACTCTCTGGAGAGCCACAGCTCTCAGATCACAAGGGTCAACAACCACACTGGTGTATTCATTGTGTTGGATGACTTTGCCAACTGTGGGCCAATGTAAGTGTCCTGAGCACGTTTAAGGTGGGCTAAGCTAAGTTGTGATGCTCGGTACATTAAGGTGCAGCAAATGCATTTTCAACTTACGATAGTTTCCATTCACGATGGGTACGACAGGACAAAACCCCACTGTAAGTCAAGAGCATCTGTTGCTTAAATGCTCACTGTGGTTATCTTAGGTGGCAGATGTTGGGTTGTTGTTAACAATTTTACAGTTAAAACACTGTCACTATGCCGGACCGGGGTAGGTCAGCAGTTGAGCGACCCACAAACAAAGAGACCGCAGGTTCGATTCAATGGTCAGGGCACATGCCCGGGTTGTGGGCTCGATTCCCGGTGGAGGAGGTTCAGGAGGCAGCCGATCAATGACGTTTTTCTCTCAATCAATGTTTTTGTCTTTCGATCCCTCTCCCTTCCTCTCTCTTTAAAAAAAAAAAATTAAAAATCATATTTTAAAAAATAATAAACTAAAGATGAGGAAACTGAAGCATAAAAAGGTTAAAAACAATGTTACTAAAAATTGGGTGGCAGGATGAGGGGAGGGGATGTCGGCATCCATGCTTGGCGAAAAGATGTTAAAAGTTGTTTATAAAAGAATTCTGATTCCAAATCTCACTCAAATGTTCATGAAAGATAAACCAGCAAGTAAATAACAAAAGTGAACCCAATCTGCTTACTGTCCCAGGAACCACTCAGTGAAAGAAAAAGCCATATCCAATAGAAACAGTGTTGTTACACCCATACCACAGATGTGAAAACTGAGGCCCCAAATAGCTCACTTTCTAATCAGTGGAGCCAGGCTTTGAATCCATGCAGTTTGTCTGAAGCAATACTTTGATGTTTGGTCACCTAACAGCCAGCCACCTGCCTGGCACCTCCACCCTCTGACCCATAACCACTTGTCCTTATCTGGGACCCACCCTAAGGCCCTCAGTTCAAGTCCACATGACACCCATTGGCACCTCTCACCAGAGCTCCTCGGCCTCCCGCTGTGCCTGCAGCCACGCCTTCTCTGCAATCAGCTCCTCAGAGATCTCCTCATAGGGCTTGTCGCCAGGGCCTTCTCCCATGATCCAGACCCAGACCTCGCCATCTTCCCCCAGCAGCCACTGGATGTGCTTGTCACTCGCTGCTTCACAACAGGAGGAGGAACAAGAAAGGAGGAAGAACGGGTCTGAGTTCTAAGTAGTAAGAAATGGCCTCGTTTGGCCGATGGTACACAACCACTCTACAGTACTGTCATCATCAAAGAGGATTCCAGAGAGACATGGGCCTGAGTGCAGGTCCATGGCCCTCTCTCCCTCCCACTCCCTCTGGGGAGCAGCACAGCAGCCAAGTCAGCCTGCTGAAACAGGTGTCCAAGTCTGGGACTGTGTCTGAGGCTGAGCACCCTGACATCTTCAGCAGAGAGAACATCAACGACAGCACAGCACCCTGAAGGAAGTGCCTGTGCTACCTGTGGACCAAGGCAGTTAGGGGCCATGAGCCCTCTCCTGTGTCCTCTCCCCTAAACCCCTCTACTTCCGCCCCCCACCACCCCCCCCATCAGCACCCCTCCTGTCCACTGGCTGAAATAAGGAATTGGAGATGGTGGTGTTGCAAGGTGAAGCAGCTAAGCCTTGAATCTCCCTGACCCACATCCACCAGTAACATGAGCAAGAACAAAACCTATGTGTCATCAAGCTGCTGAGATTTTTCACTTTTCCTACTGCAACAGATCCTATTGATTACCGTGACTAAAATGTAAATCTATCCCAAAACCTGGGACAGAAACAAAAACTACGGGTCACTACCTAAGCAGGTGGATGTCCGGTGATGGTCAGCAGGCTAAATGGCTGGTGATCCATTATGCAGGAGTAAAACACTGGGTGAAATTGTTGGGCATTGTAATGGAAAAGGCAGGCCTTGTCCACATTCTGTCTCTTGTCCAGGATGGTGGACCTGCCTCTGAACAGGTCACTCTGAGGGAAGAGACTGGAGAATAGGAAATCCTCGGTGTGTGTTAGTTGCCAGTGGCCATGTTTAGAAGGTGTTAAGAGAAAGAAACTAGTTCGAGAAAGAATTGAATGCTTTGCAAGTGAAAATGAAAGGAAATGAGAAAATACAGAAATTTGGGACTTAGTAAGATTGGGAAAACCACTTCCTTCTAGAACCCAAATTGCAAAAGATGGGTTGTTTATTTATACATATGTATCATATATATATATATATATATATATATATATATATATATATATATATATTTCAGAGAGGGAGGGAGAGATAAAAATATCAATGATGAGAGAGTCATTGATTGGCTGCCTCCTGCACGACCCCACTGGGGATCCAGCCCACAATCTGGGCCTGTCAATCTGGGCATGTGCCCTTGATCAGAACTGAACCTGGGACCCTTCAGTCCGAAGACTGATGCTCTATCCACGAGCCAAACCCGGTAGGCCAAGAGATGGGGTTTTTTAAGGTCTGGAATGACAGCCCCGTAAAACCTGTCAGGTGAATAAAGCGAGCTGGATGCAGAACCTGTGGCAGCCATGAGAATGTATTGATACCCAGACACCCAACCAGGGGGCATAATGCAGTCAGCACTCCAGCTCCGGTGTCTGCTCAAGGCCATGTTCAGAGGCAGCTCCTGGCCTTTGGCTGAGCATGGCAGGCTTATTCCTGGGACACAGCAGACACAGGGTGGGACACTTCCATGAGGCCTGGACAGACCTTCCTTGGATGCACATCTGCCCAGAACACCTCCACCCAACCTGACTTTTCCATCCTTCACTCAACCAACCTCCTCCAGCTCCCAGCCAGCCCCTTCTCACTCACAGGCGTTTCCCCAGTAAAAGGCCTGGGTGTTTAATCCCATCCTTGTCGCTGCTCTGCAGAGGAGCCAGGCTAACATGAGTACATTAAGAAGGGGTCAAAGGGGGGAAGGGGGAGACATGTGTAATACTTTGAACACTACAAATATATTTTAAAAAAGAAAAAAAAAATGTGCCGAAACAGGTTTGGCTCAGTGGATAGTGTCTGCCTGTGGACTGAAAGGTCCCAGGTTCAATTCCAGTCAAGGGCATGTACCTGGGTTGCGGGCACATCCCCAGTAGGGGGTGTGCAGAAGGCAGCTGATCGATGTTTCTCTCTCATTTGTTTCTGGCTCTCTGTCCCTCTCCCTTCCTCTCTGTAAGAAATCAATAAAATGTATTTTTTTAAAAGAAAATGCCATCTTCTCACGCTTATTTTTACAAAGAGCCTAAGGCAGGTACTCTAGTTCAGCAGCCACCAACCTTTCGGACCTCACAGAGCACCAGTGGTCAGCGACTGCTGCTCTAGTTGAAAGGGAGAGGCATAGAGGTAAAGCGGCAAAGAAGAACAGACCATTTGTGAAACATGTCTAAAAACAAACAGTAGACATCCAAGCAAACAGATCAGAAGCCTCCTAAGTTTTTGAGTCTGGACTTTAAAAGCCTTTGATTGTTCAGGACTTGACCATCCACCTGGTACACAGCCTTGATGACCAGGAGGCATGTCCAGGGAGGGCATCCTCAGCGCTCACTTCAGATGAGGCCAAGGGGAATAAGGAGCAAGGAGGAGCCCCCTCAAGGGCCCAGTTAGCATCCTCTCAAGGCTGTCTATTAGCTGCCAGGGCAGGTGCACTTCACACAGCCTGGCCTAGGGGACTTCAGGAATGCCAGGCTGGTGACTGGGTGGGGTTCACAGTCTCTCTTCCCCACAGAGGATATTCTGACCCTACTCCACCACAGTACGCTGACTTAAAGATGTGTGTGTGTTGGGGGAGGAAAATTGGGGGGGGGGGGGGTTCAAGTGACATGTCTTTTCAGCCACATCCGGACCTTATAGAGACGAATTCTGAATCCTTGCAGGCTTTGGGCTGGGTGTAGGACTGGATGTAACTTGAGGGTGTCCACCTTAAGGGTGGGGTGGATGCGTTTATAGGGGGCAAAGAGCAAAAAGCATGAGTGACCACAGTGACAACTTGGGACAGTGACTTGCGATGCCAGCACCCCGTTTCCTCTTCCTGAGCACAGCAGATGATACCCTTCTTGTCTTCCTTTGAGTGCCGTGGAGTCATGTGACTGAATCCTAGCCTGTGACACGTCAGGGGAAGTGATTTGTGCCACTTTCAAGCTGAAGCTGGTGGCAGCCAGCGTGCCTTGCCCACATTCTGTCTCTTGTCCAGGATGGGGGAATTGCAAGAAAAAGCAGCCCGACCCGTGAGTCAATGTTTGAAAGCAAAGCACAGAGAAGAACTGCCTAATCCACGTCAAACTGTGACGTATTCAGAAATAAGCCTCCATTGCATTAACCCACTGAATGTCAGTGTTCCCCGCTGCAGAAGGCAGCATTAACCCTCGAATATAGACCATCGTTATTTTTAGATGTTAAAGCAATAGTAATAGAGGAACACCAGTTTGAGTATGAATAATAGAGCTGGAAGGCAACAACTACCAGATTTATAAAACTTCCAAATTAACAGTGGGAGAATGTAAATGATAAGAGGCTTACCATCCTGCAAAACTAAGGAAACGGAAAAGTGAAAACAATAAAAAGTGTGCAACTATTAAAGCACACAACTATCTTCCCGCCATCCATGCCGGACCCCTCCCTGCCTTCTTAGAAAACCCCGATTTGTTCGGGGAGTAACAGAGAACCCTCAGTTCCAGGACAGGCACGTTTCTACCCCACCTCAAAGGGCAAATCAAACTGGCCTAAGCCCATCACATTCTAAGATTCTCCTTGGCAAACATTTGATCTAGATGACCAGATGTCCCATTTCTGACAAAGTAGATGTAGACAGAAGTCCCAGCAAAGGATTTCTTTCTCCTTAGGAGAAAACCTTGACATTTTACTCTTTTATCTCACCTCCTCCTTCCGCCCTGAATGAAAAAGTGATGCTGAAGACTTTGCAACCCTCAGGAAGAAAGCCACATGCCGCAGAAGATAGAGGGAGACGGGCCCTGACGATTTTGCTAAGCAGATAAACCAAGTCTATCCATTGACGTTCATCTCCAGCCAAAATCGGTTTGGCTCAGTGGATAGAGCGTCAGCCTGCGGACTGAAAGGTCCCGGGTTCGATTCCGGTCAAGGGCATGTACCTTGGTTGTGGGCACTTCCCCAGTGGGGAGTGTGCAAGAGGCAGCTCTCATTGATGTTTCTAGCTCTCTGTCCCTCTCTATTCCTCTCTGTAAAAAATCAATAAAATATATATTTTTAAAAAAGACCAACGTTTAAAAAAATATTTAATATGAAGTTCATCTCCAGATTTCTCGTCATTTGAGGAAAATAAGGAACTTTGAAGAATCACGTTCTGTAATTATTAAATAAAACTAGAGGCCCAATGCATGAAATTTATGCAAGAGTAGGCCTTCCCTTTAGCACCTGGGACCTGGACTAGCTTCCCTCCAGCTGCCCACAGGCATCGGCTTCCCCTGTCCAGCCCCAGCTTCGTCAGGAAGGTTATCCAGAATGATGTCCAGAAGATGTCTGGTCTAATTAGCATATTACTCTTCTATCATTATAGATATGATTCTATAAATATGAAAGATTTATTTTTTAAACAATTGTTAGTCATGTATCCTGTTATTTACAGTCAAGCACACTCCTAATAGATACAGATAACAAACAAAAGAACACAGAAGCTCTAAACCTTCAGTATACTTATTAACATGAAAACGTGAACAGAATTAATTCCCCAATTAAAAATCTGAGACTATCAGATGTGATTAAAAATAAAATCCATTTATGCATATTTAAATGTAAGACATATTTGAAAAGAGGAAAAGGTTAAAAATAAAGAAGTAGGCAATAATAAATGGCAGTGCAAAGACAAGCAAAAAGAAAGCAGAAGTGATAAGGTCAGACAAACCAAATTCAAGGACAAATGTGTTTATACAAAGAAGAATATGTGACAATAAAAGATGTAACCCACAAAGAAAATTCAAACAGTCACAACACTTTATGTAACATACAAAAAAGCAGACAATTGCATGAAACAAAACCCCCTAACAATGCAAGAAGAATTTGAAAGTGTATATATACTCATGGTGGGGAATTTTACCACATTTATTTCAGAAGTTGGTGGATCAAATAGATATTTTAAATTAATAATATAGTCAACTAATT